TGTTCTACATCTTACTTTGATGAGTAGCATCTGGAGTCTTAAAAGCTTGTTAGCAGCCATCTAAGGTACTCCCCTGGTCTCACCCCATGTGAAGCAAGGGAGAATGAAGAACACCAAAGACACAAGGGAAAGACCACAACTACCACAGCCCCCACCAGACTGAGTCCAGCACAGCTAGATGGTGCCCGGCTACCACCACCAACTGCTCTGACAACAATAGCGGGTCCCGGACAGAGCTGGAGAAAAATGTAGAACAAAATTCTAACTCACAAAAAAAGACCAGACTTACTGGTCTGACAAAGACTGGAGAAACTTGGAGAGTATGGTCCCCAGACACCTTTTGACTCAGTACAGAAGTCACTCCTGAGGTTTACCTTCCTGAGGTTCACCCTTCAGCCAAAGATTAGACAGGCCGGTAACAGAAAACGAGACTAAATGGGCACACCAGCCGAGGGGCAAGGATGAGAAGGCAGGAGGGGACAGGAAGGCTGGTAACAGGGAACCCACGGTCGAGAAGGGGGCAGTGTTGACATGTCGTGGGGTTTGCAGCCAATGTCACAAAACAATGTGTGTGTTAATTGTTTAATGAGAAACTAATTTGCTCTGTAAACCTTCATCTAAAGTACAATTTAAAACAAAATTATACATGGAAGATAGCATTGCTTTTACTCTATATTTACCTGCCTGACAGTTTCCTTCACCACATTGTTTTTCTTCTTAGATCAAAGGGATTATATCTGTGAATATTGTGCTCGGGCCTTCAAGAGTTCGCACAACCTGGCAGTGCACCGGATGATTCACACTGGCGAGAAGCCGTTACAGTGAGTATTTATTTATTGGTGATTGTCTGGGTGAGAAGAGCGTGTGCCCCACTTGAGGGTTAGCTGCCTCATTTCAGCTGCCACCACTGCTGGTTTTCACCAAATTAAACCGTGGATATTGATTGGGGGAGATAACTCAGTGGCCCTGTTCTCTTTCCTTTGTTTATCAAGCATACAGAAGGGAAAAAAATCTGATTAGTTTTTTTATCTAAGTAGCCTTTCCTAACGTTTCACAAGAAATATATGTTACTGGTTTTTGCTTACATATATGAGCTCTAAATTCTTACCAAATAAGACCCCAAAATAAGAGCTCTGTATTTCCCTATTTCATCAACTATTTCCTCATCCACTCTCCTTAGATGTGAGATCTGTGGATTTACTTGTCGTCAAAAGGCATCCCTTAACTGGCACATGAAGAAGCATGACGCAGACTCCTTCTACCAGTTCTCTTGCAATATCTGTGGCAAAAAATTTGAGAAGAAGGACAGCGTAGTGGCACACAAAGCGAAAAGCCACCCCGAGGTGCTGATTGCAGAAGCTCTGGCTGCCAATGCGGGCGCCCTCATCACCAGCACAGATATCTTGGGCACTAACCCAGAGACCCTCACACAACCGGCAGATGGTCAGGGTCTTCCTCTTCTTCCTGAGCCCTTGGGAAACTCAGCCTCTGGAGAGTGCCTACTGCTAGAAGCTGAAGGGATGTCAAAGTCATACTGCAGTGGGACGGAACGGGTGAGCCTCATGGCCGATGGAAAGATCTTTGTGGGAAGTGGCAGCAGTGGGGGCACTGAAGGGCTGGTCATGAACTCAGATATCCTCGGTGCTACCACAGAGGTTCTCATTGAAGATTCAGACTCTACTGGACCTTAGTGAGAGGGAAGACTTTGTATTTAAAAGATAAAAAGGACAGAAAAAAAAAAATTTAAAGCATTTAAAATCTAGTAAATAATTGAAGGGCCTGCTCTTTTCCATTGTGGATCACAGCACATAAACACACCCACCCCCTATTCTCCCTCTGTTGTCCCCTTGATAAAATTGATGCTGCGTTTACCAGAAAGGTGGACAAAAAAAAGTAGTAGTAATTCTTAAAATAAAGTGAGGGTTATCCTCATCCTCAATTCCAGCCAGGCAGATTTCCTGCAGATCCCCTTTTCCAACTTGTCACTGATGTGCTTTTGGATCAGCTTCTCTTACAGTCTGTTACTGTCCTCTAAATGCCTTCTCCTCCTTCCCTGCTGCCCTGTGGTTCTGGCTTCTACCCAATGCAGCACACTTATTCTCAAGGTGTCATACAGTTCTAATCTCCAGAGGCTGGCAGCTTGACTTGGCACTTTAGGGCCCCTTAGCAGGGTGAGCTGTTAAAACAGCACACGTCTCTCACCCCCTTTTCCTCCATTTCTCACTGGGTTTTGGAAAGGAAGGACACATGGGGACCATCTCCCTCCTCTTTGACCCCAGCACTTCAGTCCCCCTCCCAACACCTCCATATGGTTCTCAATGGTGCTCTCTTGCTTGAAAGCAGGCTCCCAAGAGGGAGGGGGCTGCCCTCTACACAGTCTGACTGTAAGACAGAGCTGTGTATCAGTGAGACGGTAGAAAAGTCCCAGGCTAATGGCAGAAATTTGCACTTTGAACATGTGTGTTTTTGTGTTGTGGAACTGAGATTCCTTATTTATTAACGGAAAGTCTGATTTTCTTTTTTCTTTTTTTTTTTTTTTTAATCTTCGTTGCTATATTTTGTGGGGCTGGGAGAGAGAGATTATTCTGACATGGGGTCCTTTCCACAAGAGGTACTGTTGAAGGCAAGACATAGGGTTGAAGAAGCACAGCCAGCCTCTAAAATCATAGCTCCCCAGTAGCCTTTAAAGAAAGCTGGTCCTCAGTACTAACAAAATCACTACAATAGCTTAGTGCTTGTTTGGAGGCCTTTTTAGGGACAGATGTTAAGTTCATGGTAACTAGAGCTCTGAGATTTTTAGAGCATTGAGACCTAGGAGTTTTGAGGGGATGAGGAGGATTGTTCAGGGTCTTAATTACAGATGAGAGATTTTCTCTGTGAATCTGGCTTTTATTTTTTTTGTTGTTGTTGTTTTTTTGTCCTCATCATTTCTTTACACATACTTCCCAATTGGCCATCTCTGGTCCCATGTTTTGTTTTCGGTTTTTGAATTAATTTATCATTGTTTCATTCCAGCTCCCTAGTATCAGTGAAAGACACTGCCGTTAGTCAAGGAACAAAGTGTATGGATTGTAAAATTTTCAGTCAAAGAAAAGTGCTCTGTTCTGTGTCTTCAGAAGAGGAAAGGCTGATTCAGTAGATAAAAAGTTAATGTATATAATAATGGCTTTGGCTTTCACCTGAAATTCTGGGAGTTGCTACTTCCTTTGGGATAGGGATTTTCATGGAGTGAATTACTGTTCATGGGAGAGACAGGTAGTTTTTTTTGTGCAAATATATAACCCTCAGAATATTAAAAAACCTATTGTGGCTCATTTTTAGAGAATCAGCAGGGCAATTCTTGTCCTTCAGTTTACCTCAGAAACTGGAATTGAAGGCTTGCCCTATTCATTGTTCATTGTCTGAAATGTGTGATGGCTGTTGGAAAGAATGAAGTTTTGCTGAGAACAAAATAAGAAACAGCTTGTTTTTCACAAACACTAAAAATACAAAGTTTATCAATTTTCTCTTTGATTTATTTTTCCCATCAAGAGGGGTAACAGAATGCCATCTCTGAAAGAGACTTAACTTTTACGCCCACTGGTGTCAGTGGTCGGGATGCCAGGGAATGGGGAGGGAGACACCTGCAGTGAGCGGTCTTAAATGCACTGTTGTTTCTTTTCAGTGTGTTGCAGATGTGCCATCCCTCCAATGTGGGGGTAGAAAATGGAATAAGGATAGAAGGGATCTAGAGTCTGCTTTCCTGCCCACAGTAAGGGCTTGGAGTTGACTGGTATGTTGAGTAGATTTTAAAATAAGAGTCCACAACTCCCATGGAAGTCCATTTTGTACTGTTCTCTAGCTAGCATCTATCCCCACACTCATCCTTTGTCTCCCTAAATTTCATTTGCAGTGGTTAGTCATGAGATATTTTAGCCACCTACACAAAAGGAAACTAGTACGTTAAAAAATCTTGTCTTTCTGTGATGGGGGGAAATTTGTTCTCCTTCCTATACCACCCCACTCATCTCCCAAAAAGCAACTAGTTACTTCTAATAAGAAGAAACGTCCTGTTCTTTGTCCTGTTTGGTCCTTTTCCATTTGCCTGCAGTTTGCTTCAATAAATTATTGTAGCAGTTTTTGCCATCAGTTTTTAAGTATTCTTTCATGGACTTTATTTTTCCTTTTGGGAAAAGGGATGATAGCATAGTAAAGAGTTGGTATAAGTAAACTGTCTTATACTAATCCCTCTTGCCTTTTCCTTTCTGCTCCCCATACTGATTACTTCACTGTCCTCCTAAGGAGCTCTTTTGATCTTAAGAGTCTGCATTTCATACCCTTCGTCAAATTCTGTTATCTTTTAAAATAACTCTTCCCGTTGTGTGTTCTCTATCTTGAATTGGCAATTCTAAATCCTGATATTGTGGTTGAGCTACAGCTTGTCCAATATTTCTGGGAGATGTGCTTCCCCCTTCTTTGTGGTTGCCCAGGGTTATTTTGCATAATTGATACTCCTTAATATGCATCAGAGTTTGGATAAACACTGGCTGGATATACTGAGAGTAAAGAAAATTACTAAGGTATGGGAAAGCATCCACATGGAGCACTTGAACCTGCTTTGTACCTGTTTGGAGAAAAAAACTATAGTGTACTACCAACCTAACTAAGATTATTACAGTCTGGTTGTTCGAAGTACCGTTTTTTTTCCTCCTGTCTTTTTCCCACTTTCCAATGTAGTACTCAAGAAAATTGAAAAATTGTAATGGATCAGTTTAAAATATTTTATTTCCTGAAAGCCTTTTTTGCCTGTTGTAATGTGCAGGACCCTTCTCCTTTGATGGGAGAGACAGGTAGTTACCTGAATCTAGGTTGAAAAGGTTATGTAAAAAAAAAAAAAAAAAATTATAATAAAAGGGATACTCTGCTTTTCAAATCCTTGTTTTCTCTTAATCTAGGTAAGACATACCCAAAATAAATATGTAAAGAAGAAAAATAAAAGTCTTCGTGGAAGCAGCTTGTCTTCCTTGGTTGTACTGGGTTACAGTTAACTTAGGTGTGAAACACTTGAAGCTACCAAATGAGAAGACCAGGGGCCCAGAGCACATTATATATGGGGAGTACTATTGCTTGCTGTCATTGAGAACGAGGTAGTTAAGTCTTGACCCAGATTAATTCTTGATTTCCAGTGGTAAAATGCCACACACTTCTGTGATCATGCAGCAAGCTGTTGGAAATCCCTCTGATGTTCCCACAGCCTTCTACTAGGAGAGGTCACCATATTAATCTAGTAGAGGGAACACTAAGGATGCTGTGAGGTTAATTTCCCTCAGATAATGGCAGAACCTTGATGGTGTTTAAGAAGAATGCTTCACAAAACTCAATGTGTATGTGAAGTACTAACTTTAAAAATAAACTAGAATCCTCTTGCCTTCTTAAGTGGCCTAATGTGACAGCTGCCCAGGCCTCATTTCTCTTTCCCTTACATTTATTGTTTACCTATGGAAATTTGCCCCTGAGGTGGCATGTGTTACAATTTAGAGGCGACATCTATGGTATCCAATAGTGAAAGCTAATGGATTCCTTTGGGAATGAACCTTGCAACCCTTACCCAATTAGCATCATTCTCTTAACCTACTGAGTTAAATGCAGTAGAATGACAACTCTCCAAGCACCTTTTAACTCTTTTGCCCTCATTTCAAAGCCCAACTCATTCTCTTATTTTGTTAAGAAGCATATGATGTGACTGGGATAGGGAAGAAAAAGAAAAGCATGTTGTCACTTGAGTGAGACTGCCTTAGAAATGTTACCAAGTCAGGGTTGGGTGTTCCCTGTCCCTTAGAGAACAGGCCTAAACAGTACCTTCTTCATCTGTAGCTACTGGGAAGGCACCATGATTGAGATTAGAGATGCTGCCTTAGTTGATTTTTATCAAGTGTAAATTAAACCAACTTTAAGCAGTGCTTACCAAAAGAATGAGAGTGGAAAGATGCTGCATTTTTAAACAAGTTTTATGTAAGTTTTGTTTCTTGAACAAAAAGTAAACTACAGAAGGAAAGAATGAGATTGGAAAGTCGATGGGAGAAACAGCTGTGGAATCAAAGATCTGTATTTAAATATTGAGTCTGTTGAATTTTGTGCACATTATTTAACCTCATTAAGCCTCGGTTTTTTTGTATGTAAAGTGGGGGAAATATTTATCTCATAGAATTACCTTAAGGATCAAATGAGGTTTTGCCTGTAGCAAATGTCTGGCCGTGTAGGTACTTAATAAATGGCGGCTGTTATCTATAATAATAACTTCATGTTACTGAAACTTTAGCAGGCCGAGAAAGGAAAAAACAAAAAAAGACAAGGGAAGCATAAGAGAGGGTGGTAATCAAATGAATCGACTATATGTGTATTGTAAAATAGATTACGTTAGGCCTGGGTGTCATGAGGATTAGTGTGATAGTGACCTTGTTGCTAAGTACAAAAGCAAAACAATGACATAAAAACAAGTATGCTAAGCACTGAGTGGAGGAGAGAGATGGAGACAGACGCTGTAGGAAAAAAGAGCTGATTAAAAAGGGGCCTTTGATTCCACAGGCACAAAAATCCACAGCCAGGAATTTGCTGCCACCTCTGAGTCAGGCGGAGGGGGTGGGGTGCACAATCCCATTAGTAGAGAATGCCCAGTGGATTTAGTCTGTGAGAGTCACATTTCTTATTTGGACCAGTGTAGACAGAAGCAAGCCCAGCTCACTTGTTTCCTGGGACAGTTGAGTTAGGGGATGGCTTTAGCAGAGTACTCACCACTGACCCCTCACCGCCGGGACCTCTGCAGCCGCTCTATCTGGCTAGCAAGGAAGATTCGTTCAGACCTGACTGCTCTTATGGAATCTTATGTAAGTTGTCTATTTTACTGTTGTCTGTTTTCACTTCATCTTTTCTGATCCAGCCCCTTACCATCATCCTCCAGCACCATTACCAATTATGAAAGCCCTAATCATACAGTCATTTATATATTGAGACCTGTTGTTTGACATGGCCCCTTCCCTTGAGGAAACTCATGTGACCTAATTTTCTTCTCCAGGGATGTTTAGGAGATAATATCATTCCTTTAATAAGATAGGGTTCTAGGTAGGATTCGCTATATGTCTTGGAGACAGTTCCTACTTTGCCTACATTCTGTATTCTGTCAGAGTAGGTTAACCATGGACTCTTAAAGTTTTGAGTTTTTCACAGTGTTCTGAATTTTTAAACTATATAAATGAAAGGCCAAGTGAGGTTTAAAGGTTTAAAGGACCGGGAGGAGCAACAGTATGAACTTGAGAGAAATTTGTAAACCCAACCGATTTCTTCTATACGTTATTAGCCATTTACTTTTTAATCTTATACATCAGCAGTGTCCCTGTACCTAAATAGAAAGGTCACCTAAGCTGACAAAAGGATTCTCCTTAGAAAATTCACTGGGGACTTGTCAAAGTGCCAAATTCTGAAGGAGCTAGCCATGAAGTTCTAGATTGGTTGTCTGATGGGGGATTCCCATCAGTCTCCACTGAAGACTTGCTGTGCAGATATTCCAAGCCTCTGTGGAGAGTTAGGAATTTACATTCTCTAAGAATTGGTTTGTCTTCATACAGCCCCATCAGTCAGAAATCAGACTCTTTGAAGTACCAGTTTTTTACTGTTTCCCACTGTACTTCTTAAAGAATTGTCCTCACAATGGAGAATGGACAGTGGGGAGAATGAGGTTAGAAAAATCCTACGATAGCTACAATCTAGAGTTTCCTAGGTGTTGCAGTGCCCCCAAGTATGTTTAAAATACTTAAGTATGATTAAAATACTCCAGTCTCTAGGAGAGAGTTTGAAGTGGGGAGGAAAAAACTTTCTAGACAAGTGAGTTTTAACATTTAGAACAATGAAAGCTGTAGATTGCCCCAAGAAAAACACATATTCAAAATAGTATGTATAATTTCAGAGAGTGTAGGGTCTTCTAAAGACCAGTCAGGGGCCCCACATGAACAGGTCCTGTTGTAAACATTTTCTTTACAACTTGGGTTCTTGGCCAGGGAGGTGGATAAAATTTATGTGAGACTCGGGGGGTGATTTGAGTAAGGGCATTGGGTTAATTGCAGAAGGCATGATGCTTTCCTGTGTCCTCGGCCAGGTCAGTCATCAGGGCCTGAACAAGAACATCAACCTGGACTCTGTAGATGGAGTGCCAATGGCAAGCACTGATCAGTGGAGCGAGCTGACGGAAGCAGAGCGACTCCAAGAGAACCTCCAAGCTTATCGTACCTTCCATGTTATGTTGACCAAGCTTTTAGAAGACCAGAGGGTGCATTTTACCCCAACTGAAGGTGACTTCCATCAGGCTATACAAACCCTTCTACTTCAAGTTGCTGCCTTTGCTTACCAGCTGGAGGAGCTAATGATGCTCCTGGAGCACAAGATCCCCCCGAATGAGGCTGACAGGATGCCTGCTGTTGTTGGAGATGGTGGTCTCTTTGAGAAGAAGCTGTGGGGCCTAAAGGTGCTGCAAGAGCTTTCGCACTGGACAGTGAGGTCCATCCATGACCTTCGTGTCATTTCTTCTCATCGTACTGAGGTCCCAGCACATGGGAGCTAACGATCAGAAAACATAGCAGTTGTCCCTCCCTGCCTTGCTTTCCTTTCTAATGGAATATGCATAGCTCTTTGGGGCGTCACTTTCCCATCTTAACTTTTTGGAAACCTCTAAGACCACAAATACTTTCATCAAGTAGAGTTGGAGACGTGGACAAATGGGCATGTTGTTTAGTCTGGGATGCTATGTGTGTGTGCCTGGGAGGTAAGGGAGTGGGAACGGGAGCAGTATCCTTTCACCTCAGTGCTCTAACCTTTTCTACCCAGTAGGTAGCCTGTCCTTACTCCCAGAAGGAATATATCTTTAACTCTAGTTCTGGATGACTCCTCTTAGAAGATTGAGTCAGTGAGTTAAAAATCATGAACTCTTCAGCCAATTCAAACTCTGGGTTAATAAAAATAATAACTAACATTGAGTACTTACTATATCGAGGCACTGTGCCAGGGACTTTATTATATTGTGTATCATTTTCACAACAACCCTGTGAGGTGTTTGGCAGGTCAGAAAACAGGCCCACAGAGATTTCTAACTTGGTGAAGGTCACACAGCAAATGTTTGAACCCAGTTATTTGTCACTCCAAAGCCTATGTGCCAATTAGAGGCCTGATCATGAAACTATCGCTGTACCTTTAGCCACAGAGGGTAGAAAGATGTACCTATGAAATCTATCCCCAGCACTAAAAAAGCAGTGCCCATTATGTGTCCTGATAGGTCAGTGGCAGAATTTTAGTGTCAAAAGCAGTATTTGTTGCCCCTACTTGGCAAACAGAGCAGCCAGCGGTCACCAAACTTCTGAACTTAGGAAGCTAGATATGTGTTGTAATACAGCCTGGTTTAAAGTGCCCACTAGAGTTGTTGAATATTGAGTTGGACACAGCTTGTACCAGGTTCCCTCACATTTACTGTAATGGGCAATGCAGTGATGCGGGCGCTGTAACCCAATCATTCGCGTGCAGTAGGTGGAACACTACTCAGGTTAAAAAGTCACAGAACTCTTGCGCCACACATTTCTCTGGACTTAGTCATGAGGAGAGGGTGAGGCCCACTCTGTCCCCACTGGGAATGCCAGAATTTCTGAAACAATGTCCAGTGAAGCCTCCCTGCAGCACAACAAAGGCACAGGGCTTGGCGCATTTAATGTTCCTGTGAGACCATGCGTAGTATGAAAGGCACTAACCGGAAATGTAGGCATTAATGGAAAAGGTCATTCACGGTAAGGCTTGTGTACTGATGGTGTGCTGTGAATCGAAGTTTTCAGGAGTGTATTGTACAATTACCTGCTTAATTAAAATTCAGTATGTTTGTTCTCAAATCTTAGATTGAGGAGCCCAAATCAATTTAATTATTTGACGCTTCTGTTGAGTTTTCCAGAGACAGAACTGTATTCTTAAACCATGACTCAGGGAGGTTTAGTGCCCATAGGTTGCACAAGGCAGGGGAATGGGTGACTTAGCTTGTGCCCCAACTCCATCAAGTCAGTATCAGGTGAGGACTCTGGGCTAGGCATTGTGGAAGGACATCATGCTTGATAAAGTAGAGGGTCAGCGGAAGAGAGGAAGACCTTCAACGACATGGACTGACAGTGGCTGCAACAGTGGGCTCAAACCTAAAGATTGTGAGGATGGTGCAGGACAGGGCTGCATTTCGTTCTCTTGTACACGGGGTGGCTGTGAGTCGAAACCAACTCGATGGCACCGAACAACAACTGGGCTAGGCTTTATGTCGGTACAGGGGCGGTAAGACCCTGCTCTCTAGTATGCATTTGTAGAAACAAGGCTGTATCTGTATAAAATAAATGCATAATACTAGATTGGAATTGTAAGGCACGGGTTTAAGTGTTACTGAGTTCAAAGGAAGGAGATCAGTGTGGGCCAAAAGGTTGGCCGCGTACAGAACAGATCTTGAGGAGAGAAACAAGGAATAGTTGCCTGGTTAAAAGAAAGTGAGGCGATAATAAACATTTGGGTCCAGCTACCGGTAAAGGGGATTAGTTTTATTTTGTGGGTAACTTTGTGCAGGTATATAGTTCCCCACTGACTGCATAGGGCTTATTTCATTCAAGCTTTTCCTTACATAAATTGTTCTGCTTAAGAGCAGCATTTTTTTCCTTTTTTTTTTTTTTTATTGTACTTTAGATGAAGGTTTACAAAACAAACTAGTTTCTCATTAAACAGTACACATATTGTTTCAGGACATTGGTTAACAACTCCCCGACGTGCCAACACTCTCCGTTCCAGACTTTGGGTTCCCTATTACCAGCTTCCCTGGCCTCTCCTGCCTTCTAGTCCTTATCCCTGGGCTGTTGTGCCAATTAGTCTCATTTTGTTTTATGGGGCTATCTAATCCTTGGCTGAAAAGTGAACCTTGGGAGTGATTTCTTTACTGAGATAAAAGGGTATCTGGGGGCCATACTCTCGGGATTTCTCCAGTCTCTGTCAGGTCAGTAAGTCTGGTCTTTTTTTGTGAGTTAGAATTTTGCTCTACATTTTTCTCCAGCTCTGTCCAGGACCCTCTCTACTGGGATCCCTGTCAGAGCAGTCAGGGGTGGTAGCCAGGTACCATCTAGTTGTGCTGGACTCAGTCTGGTGGAGGCCGTGGTAGTTGTGGTCCATTAGTCTTTTGGGCTAATTTTTCCTTTGTGTTAAGTGCAGCATTTTTGATTGATGAAGTATCTGCTTATTAATGTGATGCTCTTAGATTTATCTGGATAGTATTTCAGGCTCTTTTGTTTAATGGAGAAGGATGTTACTTAAGATTTCTTACTGGGGAATGATCAGTTATGAACTAGCCAACTCTGAAAGAGGTGACTCCTTTCCAAGGCTGTGTTTTATATCCAGACGATGTGGCAGGGCAGACATCTACAGAGGTTTCAGAAATCAGTGAAGCCTGGCTCAAGCTCTGCCAAGCTGCATTTGAAGTAATACACCTGAGGTAGATTTGAAGTGGCAGAGGGTCCAGAAAAGGTAGGAGGAACCAACTGTTGAATGAGAGTCAATAGGAAGAGTGTAAGTTTCAATTAGGTCCCAAAACAGCAGGTGCTTACTGAGCGCATTCCCAGCACACTAAAAACTACGTATCAGTTTCTCCTTCAAGAAACTTATGCCTCAAAAGAAGTATGGAGAAACCCCTCAGAAAAAGGCAAAGTAAAGGGGAAATGAGCACTTGGCCATATTAACAGAGACATGAGCGTGTATGAGATCTCTGAATGTGTAGACATTGCATCACGTTTATCTGAAATGTATAAAGCGAACTGAGTAAGAGACTGACAATAGGCCAGTGTTCTAGCCATGTATTTTATATTATAGGTTGGGATGATGAAGACACTGGAAGTATATGCATTTTTTTAAGGATCCACAACCCAAAAGGGATTTTTGATCTTTAGATTTTAGGTCCCTTGGTTTCTTAGTATATACATGGATAGGAAAGTTTTTGATGTCTGGGGAACCATATAAGTATGATAACTGTGTATATAGAGTTATTCATATAAGGTACATGCATTAATTCCTGTCCTCTATCACATTTTGTAAAGAGTTATTCGGTCCATCCCACTGGCTCCAGGAAAGCCCCCTCTGAGATTGTGTTTTCCCGAATCCATCAAGGAATTGCATGGGTGAGAGTTGAGAAATTTTGTGTACACTGATTTAATAGGGTAACTTGGTGTAAAAGGCTTGCAAATTAGCACAAATTTAAAGGTGAAACATGGAATAACATTAGCTTTAAGATAATCAGGTTTGGGGGTAGTGAGAGTTTTAGTAAGAATGGAAAGTGTAAAGTCATAGCTTTGGTATTGCTGTTATTTCAGGCTGCTGTGGATTGAAGCCCAATGGATGACTCATTGTTGTGACCACTGGTCAAACAGGGAGAGGACAAGTAGATATTTCAGGGAGCCATATCTGAGAAGTTGTTTAGAATGACTTACTGCTGAATCTCCAGCCTCTCATGAGGTAGCTGAACATGTCTCTCTCTTTATAGGGGTAAAATAAAGATGCAGGAAGCTGAGAGGCCTCTGCCCTGCCACAATGTGAAGGGATTGGTGAAGAGAAAAAAGAGGAGGGAGGAGTAGAATTTGGGTATTACTTCACTTGATTTATTAAATACATTGTTGCTACTATTTCCTTTGAGTTGACTCAGGGCAACTGCACGTGTGCAGAGTAGAACTGTGCTCCATAGGGTTTTCAAGGCTGTGACCTTTTGGAAGCGGACTGCCAGCCTTTTGGCTAGTAGTCGAGGGCTTAACTGTTTGCACCACCCAGGGACTCCTATTATACATACATACACGTACACACACACACACACACACGTACACACACGTACACACACACACACACACACATTCAATAAAAGATACTAGCGTAATTTAAGCCAGGGCATTCTTGAAAAAAAAAATGATTTTGCCTCCTGCCTCATCACACGTCCACTTCAAGCATCAAACCCAAGATTGGAGCCCTCTGAACATGGATACATTCAAAAAATGAAAATGATAAAAATTAATCTCTTCACTCAAAAGTTTCAGTAGAGTCCTGAGGTCTATAGAAAAAGACAAACTAAAAAGACAATAATTTGATCTTTTGATGAAATGTGTGTGGGGTGAGAGATAAGAAAATACGTATGCATGTGACTCTTAGCATAAAATATATTACTTGGGTCTATTTTTGGCACATAGGAGATAAAAGGTGCAAGAATGGCTGAAGATAAAAATCATGAGTTACTTCTTTGATTTCTGTATTTTGAGATGAACAAAGGGGATTTCAAGTGATGTCAACATTGGAGGAAATATAATCCTCCCAGCCAGGGCCAAGCTCGTTCAAGCGTGCTGGGTAAATCTCCAGGATTCCAGGCCACTGGGCAAAACTCCCAGGGCCAGTCAGCCCAGAAATGTGGATTGCCCCTCCACCGCCAGGCTACTGTGCTCTGCCTCTGGCTATGCTGTCCTATCTGCTAGCCTGCAAAAGAGGAAGATTCCTTTCACATAATATAATTGCAAGCGTTTGACCTCCCAGTCAAGCCTTTAAAAGAAAAGAACCCGGATTAGGCCATTTCTAACCAGTTTGAAGGTAGAAATTATGGTTAGTCGCTGTCAAGTTGATTCTGACTCATGGCGACCCTATGTGTGCCACAGTAGAACTGTGCTCCATAGAGTCTCCAAGGCACTGACCTTCGGAAGCAGATTGCCAGGCCTGTCTTCCGAGGTGCCTCTGGGTGGGTTTGAACAGCCAACCTTTTGGCTAGTAGTTGAGCACTTAACTGTTAGCACCACCCAGGGACTAGAAATGAAGTTGTGGAAAATCACAAAGGAGAAAATTTGAGAAGCTGCTGGGTTATTGCCTGTTTCTATCCACATGTTCAAAGTAATATTGAGGAGAATAATGCATTTACTTATTTGCCATGTCTAGCAGCACTCCTCTGTTTCATGCCACGTAATCTAAGACATATCTCTTTCATAGATGAGGGAAATGAGAATGAGTGTTAACTTGCTCAAGTTCCCTCAGATGATATGATAGGGCTGGAGTTTTAATTCTGACTCCAAAGCTCAGTCCCCTCCACTCCACTCCAGGTGTCATAAAACACCTGATAATTGAGATGATCTTATGCTGAGTTTTGTTCTCCATCTCCATAATTCACTTCCTTTAGAAAAAGCCAGAACAGATTGGTGCCAAATCTTGCTCCATGACAAAGCCTATATAAGTTTCCAAAGCTTGGGCCAAGTCACTTTTTCTGAGCTTTGGAATCATTTATGAAATGGAAAGGATGGCAACTAACTTGACAGGTTGTTACATGGTTTAGTCACGATTGAGTATCTGAAAGTACTTGTACATGACATACAGACATCACCAAGTATATTTAGGGTCTCAGCTTAGATTCAGCTTAGACATTTGGTTGAGGAGAGAGTGTACAAGAATCTCAGAATTAACAATGGCTTCCCAGATCTAGCTGGTCAGAGCCTGTTGCACCTTTGGGCCTTTGGCCACTAGAGGCTGACCCAGTCTCACACACAGCCTCCAGGAAGCATCCACTTTGGAGGGTTGAGGCCCAGGCAGTTCAGAAGACAGCTTTCACAATGGGAGGGGCCAGACAAGTCCTGGAGAAGTCTGGCAGGCTCTAAGGGGAGCCAAGGAAATGTGCAAACCTAGGCACCACTCCAGGATTTGTTAAAGCATGCACTTAGAATCGTCCCTCCTCTACCCACACCTTCCTGTTAATACAGGAAGAAATTCAAACTTCATTTATTTCAATCCCTTCATTAAATAACGTCAGTATGAAAGAGCCAAAGAGGTTCAGCAATCTGCCCTGCTTCCCCAGCTAGAAAGTGGAAGAATTAGAACTATAGCTTAAGTTCAGGGCATTCTCCACTGCACCTCCCTGCTCCCCCATTCCAAAAAACCAAAGCCATTGCCATCGAGTAGATCCTAACTCATAGTGACCCTATAGAACAGAGTAGAACTGTCCCATAGGGTTTCCAAGGATCCACTGCACCACCACATTAGACAGAGCTTCTTTGAGGAAACATCCGGCATCTCTTGCATCCAGCGCCCTCTATCTCCCTTACCTCCAATGATCCTTTGGAAGCTCCAGGAACAACTCGTGACCTGAACTTCTTTTGCCCCCTCAATCCCACCTCCCACTATAATTTGGTGGTCTTAAATGCTATCCCTTCCCTAATATAACGGCAGAAGTGGAACACATTCTGAGGTAAGTGAATCACATTCATGTGGTAATGGCTACATATACTATTCCTTCCAGGATAAATGAAATTTGAACAGAGACCCAGGGAAGCTTTTTTAAAAATAATGTTCTTTAGGTAGATGTCTATCTTTAGGTCAGACCAACCCTTATGCCACACCACTAGATAAAGTGTTGAGGCTACTTTCTCTTCTCTTCCTTAACAGTCCCTGACTCCTATCCCCAAATCTTGGGGTGGAGGGAAGTTTGGGGAGTTACACAAATAACTTCATAGGCTAAGAAGATGGCAACATCTCCAACCTGGTTCTAAGCTCTACAGCTCAGTCTTTCAGAATCATCCTGTCCCACTCCAATCAAATTCATTGGCAATACGTATTGATGCCTCCTCTGAGCTAGTACCGAGGATACAGAAATGGATAACAATAATAGTAGCAAACATTTATGTGGTGCTTACTGTATGCCAGTCATTGTTCTAATTGCTTTGTATGTATTAACTCCTTTTGTTCTCATTAAGAACCCTATGAGTTAGGTGTAAAATGAAACCATCTGCCCTCAAGTCAACTCTGACTCATGGCTATCCCCTGTGTGTCAGAGTAGAACTGTGTTCCAAAGGGTTTTCAGTGGCTGATATTTTGGAAGTAGATGGTCACGTCTCTC